TGAAAATGTGGAATAGACTCTCTCAAGAGGTGGTTCTGGCAAGCTCAGTAGATTGCCTTAAAAAAAGACCTGGATTCTTGGAAGGGTTATAGACATTTATTGCATGAATAACAACATTTCAAGTGAAGATTGACTGGCATATACTGTTGATAGATGTATCATTCAACCTACTTTATTGTCTACATATTTCATGTACTTGCAATCTATTCTTTTCTATTTCTTCTTTTTCTTATGGTAATATACTTTTCTGTAGTGTATTTTTCAAAAGTGCCTTGTTTTTCTGTAAGTATCATTTGAAAATGTACCTTTGTTTTGAAATGTAGGAACTTTCTTCCTAGCAGTAAACCTTCCATTCAACAGAATACTTGATTTTGCATATGGAGACTCCCTGATTTAGTCAACTTGGAGGTTAAAGGTAAAAAATGATTAGGAAGGGAAAAATTATGAAAATATCTTTTTGGAATCAGTAGTTTTAGCTGTGAGATATAATATGAATTTAGGTGTGTTGAGTGAATAATATGAAGACTAATATAAAAAATAGAAATTGTATAAAATGAATATTTATATAAAAACATAATAAATGAATATAAGTCATGCAGAATCGCACAATCTCCAGAGTAGAATCTAAATAGATCACCACCTATAGGGAAAACCTGGGTATGGGCCTAGCAGTAACATTCATAGAGCTAAGAATATCAAAAAATTATGATATATATAGAGTACCTGTAGCAAATGAGTAAATTAGTACATGCAGTAAAAGTGTCTTGATATCAAAAACAAAATGCATATAAAGCCCACTTAATACTTAGTGAAAAAAAACATCAGGTAAACTATCAAATATCATTATCATGGAGGAGAGGTGGGGAAATCCAAACAGTGGAAATGAAAAAAAGCTGCAAAAGGCTATGCAGGCATTACTGTGGAAGATACATGTACAATGTAAGCTGTGGGAAGTATCAGGAAGGTAGACAGAAAGTCATGTCCCTGTATGTCCTGTTACATGCCTGATAGAACCTTTGCAGCACTGGAAGTTTGGAGACAGGAAGATGACAGATATGCCTGCAGAAAAGCAAAAAAGATTTTTCCAGGATCCAGCTTCCTGAAAGACATGAGACATACTAATGACAGGTGACGTGACTAAAGCTGTAGGGATTTTTTTTCTAGATAAACTGCAGCTTTAATAAATAAAACATGTATCTGTACATTTATATAAATGTATATGGGTAGGGGTGGAGAGTTAAAGATCATAGGTTTCCCACATCTGCTCACCCAAGAAGTGACACGATACTACAAAATATATAAAAAGATTATATAAAATGAGAAGAGCTGCATTTATTTGAGAACTATCCATAGCAGTGCCTTCTCCTACATTTGCCAAACCCCTAATCCATCTGTTAAAGGGAATATAGTGGGAAGCTGTGGGTCTATCCCTGCTCTGTGACTACATTGTGCCTATATGCTCTGTACACATTTTGTTAATAAAGAGTTTGGAATTTTAAATCAGGGAGCACTTTTATGAGCTGTATTGTTGCCATTTCTGAGAAGGAGAGAAGTTTTGTCCCATTTGATCCATTTGGAAAACACATATGCATTTGACCTTTTGCATAAGGGTCTACCATTTAAAGTGAGCGGCTAGTATATACTGCATTGTGGTGGTGGACTTTTGCACTGGATTTGGTGGTTATAAACACGCACGCAAATTTGACCTTGGTCTATACCAGTGGTCGGCAAGCCGCGGCTCGCGAGCCACATGCGGCTCTTTACACATTTTAATGCGGCTCTTCTGTGTGCCGGGCGCTCGCTCCCCTCCCCTCCCCTCCCTCCTCTTCCTCCTCTCGGGCGGCAGCTCCCCTCCCCTCCCTCCTCTCGGGTGCCGAGCTCTGCAGCTAGCCCAGCAATGATTGGCCAGTCTCGCTGCCACTCACATCCTGATAGCTAGTGATTGGCTGTCAGGATGTGTGTAGGCGGGGCAGCGTGACGAACGTGAGGGGAGCTAGGCTCCTCTCACAGTCCGCCCTGAAGACCGGAACGGCGCGGGGAGCACGGCGAGAGGAACGCGCGGAGAAAGGTAAGTGAATTGACACAGGAGGGACTTGACTTACTACTTGCTACTTACTTACTACTACTATATGAGGGATGAATTAATATGGGGGATGAATTACTATGGGGGATGAATTACTATATGGGGGATGAATTACTATGGGGGAGGCATTACTATATGGGGGATGAATTACTATATGGGGGATGTATTACTATGGGGGATGAATTACTATATGGGGGAGGAATTACTATGGGGGATGAATTACTATGGGGGATGAATTACTATATGGGGGATGAATTACTATGGGGGATGAATTACTATATGGGGGATGAATTACTATATGGGGGATGAATTACTATGGGGGATGAATTACTATATTGGGGATGAATTACTATGGGGGATGAATTACTATGGGGGATGAATTACTATATGGGGGGTGAATTAATATGGGGGATGAATTACTATAGGGGGGATGAATTACTATATGGGGGATGAATTACTATGGGGGATGAATTACTTTATGGGGGATGAATTACTATAAAAACTTATTGAAACTAAAAACAGTGTACCATCCTATGTATTTTCAGTTTTAAAAATGTGTCTCTCAAAATAAATTTCAATCGTGGTTTTGGCGAGATTTGGGCTCAGTTGAAAAAAAAGGTTGCCCACCACTGGTCTATACATTAAGGGGGGTGGCCATTTTGTGAGTTTGGAGGTGGTGGATTCTGTTTTCTTTGCACATGGGGGTTCGGATTCAGAAACATAAGACAAAGTGGCCATTTTTAGCACTTTTGGCTATTTGGGCTTTTTTGGACTATTTGAACACATTTATTCAAATATACTTGATAAAGATAAGGTTGGGAATTTATTGATGGCTTTATGGGTGTTTTATTTATTTGTATATTTATTATAACAAGAGATTGCCACATGATTCAACAGAACACATTAAGTACGGTATATTGTATAAGCTTGGCACTTTGAATTTTATAGAATTTTTAGAAAGTTGGCTACTTGGGTGTGCTGCAGCTGGTTGGATCTATAGCACAGTAATTTAGCTTTGTGTGAAAAGGTTTGCTACTACAAAATGCAATTCAGTCACGAAATGCTAGCAAATATATGGTATGTGAGATCAAAATGTATAGCAGTGAGGCTCTAACAATAAGCAGGAGCAAAAAAAGACAATCATTAGTGCTTAGTGGAGGTGACAGAAATGCCATGCAAACATTTACCATTGACAAATAAAAGTGGAATATATCTTTATAGCAAACAATGTCACCTATAAGGCTAAACCTTAGTTATTTTTGCTATAGTGCCCACCTTTTTCAAATGCTCAATTTCAATTTTACCTTTGCATTATAGTGCTGAAATAGCTTTAAAGTGTTGCTAAACCCACTACAGTATAATCAGTCTATGTATACAGTAAAGCATGCTTTTCATACTCACTGTGGAACCTAAGGGGTTAATCCTCTGCATTGTGTAAAAAGGATGTTTTATCGTCTCTTCTCTGATCATCCCCTTCTTCTACTGTTCCCAGTATATCTCCTGATAGAACAGAGGCTTGGAGGCAAACTGCACATGCTCAGTTTTGTGTGTATTGCTAGAGATTTTTTTTTTCCTTGGAACAGTGCATGTGATCAGCACAGGACCAAGCAGCACTGTCTAGACAGAGGGTCAGGGGTCCTGCAGCCTCATAGGGGAGAATGAAAACTTCTCCTACAAGCTTTAACCAGTTCTCTGCTGGACACTGGGAGAAGTTACAAAACTGCTATATGCAGCTTATGACAAAATATATTTAGCAGTTTATATTTACTAAAATGATTGCATTTCCATGTTCTGTGTACTGTGTGAGACCAGATATAGTGAATTCGGGGTCATGGCTTTAGTAACAGTGAACTGTTTTAATTTTTTAGCTTTCTATTCTATTTTACAATAATATAGTCCATTTGACCTTTGACTTGCAACTCTTTCTTTGTTTATCCTCACTTTCTTCTAACTTGAGATGTAAATTGTCTTTACTTACAGCAAACATACTCCTATTGAGCTGTTTTTTTTTTTCTCCCTTTATCTATCCCTTAAGCACCTGTCCCCATTATCTGGACTGAAATTATGGCCAAATTACAGTTGAACAGCAATTTATTGTCCAGCATACAAAAAAAAGTTCAGTGCAAAACTTGCCTTCATTTAGGTCCTGTCCCCAACAGTTTACCACTAGATGGTGCTCCTTTCAGCTGAATGATAGCCAGCATCTCATTTTCTGTGAGCCCAGGTTGCCATAGACCTAAACCTTGCATCATGGCACTCTCCTGGGCTCACAGAGCCTTTTAGTGCAAACTAAGGACCCAGGACATTACTGCACTAACCAGACGACTTTAGTAAAAAGGTATGTATGATTAACCACTTTCCTGCTGCCCTATAGTAAAATTACTGCTACAGGATGGCAGGGCTGTGCAAAATCCTGTATATATACGTGATATGCATTTCTGGGTAGGAGGCACGGGCATGTGCAACACCCTACCTGTGCCGTCTTTGGAGGCTATGGATGTCCTGGCCGGAGATTCCCTGCCGGCACCCGGCAATCGCCGAGTAACACTGACAGGGGAGAGACCTTTGTGTAAATAAGACAGGTCTCTCTCCTGCCAGCAAGAACATGCTGTTGTGTATTTCTCTGCAGGGAAATACACAGCAGCATGCTTCCCTAGTAAAACACACACAGCACATTATGTAAAACAGCACACAGTTAACCCTTTGATCGCCCCAGATGTTAATTCCTTCCTGCCCAGTGTCATTAGTACAGTGTCAGTGCTTTTTATCAGCACTGATCACTGTATTAGTGTAATTGAGATGTTAGTGGCAGTTAGTCAGTTCCCACCCAGTGTCAGAATGCCTGCTACAGTCCCGCAGTCCTGCTATAAGTCACTGATCACCGCCATTACTAGTATAAAAAAATATAAAAATTCCAGTATATATACCGCCATTTGTAGACGCTATAACTTGCACGTAAACCAAATAATTTACATGTATTGGGATTTTATTTAGCATGTAGGCATGTACAGGGGCGGACTGACAACTCATGGGGCCCCCGGGCAATAGGGGATCATGGGGCCCCTGTGTCCTTGCCCAAACTCAAAAAAGCCAATGAAAAAGGTACCAGGGGCATCTCATGGGGCCCCCTACTGACCCCAGGCCCTCGGGCAGTGCCCGAGTTTCCAAATGGTCAGTCCACCCCTGGGCATGTAGCAGAATACATTTGGGCCTAAATCGATGATGAATTTGATTTTGTAATTTTTTTTACTGGATATGTTTTTTTAGCAAAAAGTCGAAAATATTGGGGTTTTTTTTCAAAATTGTCGTTCTTTTGTTGTTTAAAGCGCAAGAAAATATAAAAAAAGCAGAGGTGATCAAATTCAACCAAAAAATACCTCTATTTGTGGGAAAAAAAGGATATAAATGTAATTTATTTACAGAGTTGCATGGCCGCTCAATTGTCAGTTAAAATAACGTAGCGCTGCATAGAAAACAAATGGCCTGGTCAGGAAGAGGGCTAAATCCTCTGGAGGGCAAGTGGTTAAAAAAGGACACAATGGTGGCTTCAGGGAAAGGGAAACCAGATGATTGGGGGGGAGGGGTGCACACTGGTCTCAAATAACAGTATAAAATAAAGTATAAAGGGCACAAGCATAAAAAGTCCTTCTGTGGCAGAGGAGAAATTAAATAACTGCTCGTTATTATTTTTTTTTTACAGGAATCTGGTGAAAATTTGGTTTATGGCAGTCTTGATTTTATTTATTTTAAGCATGTTCATGTAAAAATATGGGAATGAAGTTATTTAAAGAATATTTCCTTACATGGAATGCCAAGAATGACAACAGAGCCCATTAAGAATGGATCCGATTCTACCCATGATGTCAAATAATGACTGGTTCAAAGGATCAACGTTAGTTTGGAGAGCTGACAGCTGAAAACATACTGTACTTATTTACATCTTTGAAGTAAACATCTAATGCTCAGTCTGCATCCATTATTGTAATTCTGTCCAAGTAAGCACATCCTTAGAATGCAATGTTTTTCAACTGCTTGCAGAATTTGCCCATAAGGAAGCTGTTGGCATACAAGAATTGTACTTGTTATTAAATAGCCATGAGTTATCTTTATTTCCAGCAATTATACTTCTGACATGATGCTAAGTAAATTGTTTTGCTGATTTTAAATAGCATAATTGCCTTTACCATATATGTTTTCAGTATACACGACTTCATGTAATAGTTAAAGAACTTCAGTAATAGTAGTGGAACCTCAGCCAAACAGATAAAAACACAGTATTTAACTGAAGGACTGCTTTACCTGCCATAATAGTTAATGGCAGTGTTCTGCACCCCTCCAACACTACATACCCAACATAGTTACTTCATTAGTTCATATTGCAGCTTTGTAACTGCCTTTGTCCCCTGCCTGATCACTGGAAAATGTATGCACATTGTCACACTGCAGATGTACTTTTGTGCTCCCCACTCAATAACTTTACAAATTAGCATGCTTTTATAAAACCTAGTGCTTAAAAACACGGTAGAACCCTGTTATGCAGTAGAGCTCTGTGATTTACAATGTTATGTTCTTTACAATGCAGTGCTCTAAAAAATATAAATAGTGCATTTAATAAATAAATGCATTACATTTTCAAAAAGTGCTAATAAGGAGTCCAAAGATCGCGAATACCTCGCACGGAAAAACAGACTTCAGTGTTATCCTTCAACAACTTCCACCACAAGTGAGAACACAAAGGTTCTTACTAAATCATACTAACTCTATGTGTTGAGCGGTGAAACAGTGCTTGTTAATTAGTTTCCAAACTCATGCACATCCAAGGTCCCACAGCCTCCTCCAGGCCTCATCCACTATTCTCTTGTGCCTGGAACTCACTCTTCTCCAGCAGTCTGCGGGCATCCGAATCCCATATACATTCAACTCATAGAAGACAAGCAAAACAGCCTCATGGCCACATATCGTCTTGGACAAAAATATTGGCACTCCTGAATTGCTGTCAGGTAATGCAACACTTCGCCCAGAAAATGTTGCAATTACAAATGTTTAGGCATTCTCAAGTTTATCTCTTTTGTTTGTATTGGTATGACAAAAAAAGTGGAGAAACAAAAAGCCAAATCTGACACATTCAATGCAAAACCCCAAAAATGGGGGGGGGGGGGTAACCATCAGTAAGTTTCTTACACCTCTCTACTGGAATTTTGGATCACTCTTCTTTTGCCAACTGCTACAGGTCTCTCAGATTGGAAGGGATCCTTTTCCCAACTGCTGTTTTGAGATCTCTACACAGGTGCTCAATGGGATTGAGATCTAGACTCATTGCTGGCCAGTTTAGTACTCTCCAGCGCTTTATCTTAAACCATTTCTGGGTGCTTTTTGATCTGTGCTTTGGGTCATTGTCCTGCTGTAAGACCCATTACCTCTTATGGAGAACCAACTTTCTGACACTGGGCCCTACATTGCACCTCTGAATTCTTTGGTAGTCTTCAGATTACATAATGCCATGCACACGGTCAAGACATCCAAAACCTAAAGCAGTGAAGCAACCCCAAAACATCAGTGAACCTCCACCATGTTTGACTGTAGGGACTTCTTTAAAGGCCTCATTTCTTTTTCTGAAAAGATTAGAATGATGGGCTTTAGCAAAAAGCCCTAATGTTGTTTTGTCTGTCCACAGCACATTCTCCCAAAAGGATTTTGGCTTGTAAAGTTTTGTAAAACTCTAGGCTTTTTTATATTTCTGTGTCAGGAGTGGGTTTTCCTGGGTATCCTACCATAGAGTCCCTTTTCATTCAGATGGCGATGAATAGCGAGAGCTGACACAGTTGTACCCTGTTCCTTAAGGTCAGTTTGAATTTGTCTGGAAGTTGATTAAGGTTCTGGAAGTTGATCAAGGCAAAAAGACATACATCCATCTCACCATCAGTACCTCAGAAACCAGAACTGAGAGAACCCACCGGGTGGAAGCTACCTTAACCACATGCTTTCAAGTGGCAAGAAATAGCCAAGTTTAAAAAAAATAGTTTAATTAACTACAATCTTGGAACAACGGGCTCAATAAAAACACCACTCATTGGCAAGTGTGATATAAACCACAATCAAACTATCATGATCTTGAGGACAATAAACACATTAAAAATTCATAATTATCACAATATAATAAAATTATTTAAAAAACTAAAATGTCATATAATCCATGTCCCGTAACACCATCACTAGGCAATCAGATATTCCCTAGATCAACTTTACCTATACCTATAATATTAGTATACAGTTATATTTTGTGCATTTAGGTAAGAATCCAGGTTTTTTTTTAAAACAATCTACTGAGCTGTCCAGAACCAACTCTTGAGGAAGTCTATTCTACATTTTACAGCTCTTACTGTGAAGACGCCTTTCTGTATTTGGAGGTTAAATCTCTTTTTCTTCAGACATGAGTGCCCCCTTGTAAATTCAGTTCAGCTAATCTTCCTTCATAGCTGAGCTGCACCTTGCCTCTTACCAGTTTTGGCTGCTCTTCTCTGCATTTTCTCCATTCATCAATATCCTTTCTGTGATCTGGTGCCCAGAACTAAACTGCATATTCCAGGAGACATCTTACTAATGATTTGTACAGGGGCAAAATTATGTTTCTCTCTCTGAAGTCAATACCTCTCTTAATACAAGGAATTTGCTCACTTTGGCACTTTGACAGCTTAGAATTGCATACTATTAATAAGCATATGATCTACCAGAACACCCAGATCCTTCTCCACCATTGATTCATCCAGCTGTTCTACTCCTAGTATGTAATATGCAGGCAAATATTTAGCCCCCATGTGCACCACTTTTTATTTATAAATATTAAACCTAATTTGCCACATAGTTTCCTTATTAAACAGTGCATTGAGGTCAGCTCATAAGTTGGAGACATCCTGTAAGTACGTTATTCCACTGCACAGCTTAGTGTTATCTGCAAATACTAAAATTGTACTTTGCATCCCAGACCCTATATCATTTGTAAATATAATAAAAAGAAAGGGTCCCAACACAACCTTGGGGTACACCATTAACCTTAGACCATTCACAGTATGAATCAATAACCACTACTCTCTGGATACAGTAGTTTAGCCAGTTTTCCATTCATTTACAAACTAATTTTTCCAAGACTGTAGACATTACCTTGCACAATAGCTGTGCGTGGGGAACTGTGGCAAAGGCTTTTGCAAAATTTAAGTATATTATATTCACAGCCACTCCTATGTCTAAGGTTTTGGCTTACCTCCTCATAAAAATAAATCAGATTTGTTTGACAAAAAGTATAAGAACTCCCAAAACTGCGCTAAATAAATGAAAATGAAAATCCCCAATATATATTTCTTTCAAATTATAATCGTGTCCCAAAATACTATAAACTCCTCAAAATATATATCACTTTTGTAATTATATCCGTGTTCCAAATACCACGCTGCTACTTTAAACATGTGCAAAAAAAAATATTTCAAAGAAAAAATATTTCAGTGGCGCATGCATCAATTATCTATCTAGCATTCCGAAAACAATATCTGATTATAAATATTAATAATATCAATAATCTATGTAATACAGTGAGGAACAGAAGTATTTGAACACCCTGCAAGTTCTCCCACTTAGAAATCATGGAGGGCTCTGAAATTCACATTGTAGGTGCATTCCCACTCTGAGAGACAGAATTAAAAAAAAAATTCAGGAAATCACATTGTATGATTTTTAACCACTTCCTTCCTGTCCGGACACTTTTACCTCCCTTCCTGTCCAGGGCAATTTTCAGCTTTCAGCGCTATCACATTTTGAATGACAATTGCGCGGTCATGCAATACTGTACCCATATGAATTTTTTACCATTTTTTTGAGACAGATAAAGCTTTATTTTGGTGGTATTTATTCACCGTTGGGATTTTTATTTTTTTTACTATGTAAATGAAATGTCTAAAAATTTTGAAAAAAAAGTGTTTTTTTTTATAAAATTTTGCAAATAAATAATATTTCATCATAAATCTTGGCCAAAATGTATTCCGTTATTTTTTTAGTAAAAAAAAAAACCCAAATTAGTTTATAACCAAAAATTTAAATTTTTAAACATTTTTTTACATTTTTATTTTATTTTTTTATATTATTATTATTATTATTTTTTTTTTTACATACTGTCACCCTAGCAGTACAGTGTCAC